CAGGAGCCCCTCGCAGAGCAGCTGCAGGCCGGCGTCCCCCAGCGGGTTGTGGCTGAGGTGCAGCTCCTGCAGGGTGGGCAGGGAGCGCAGCAGGCCGGGCAGGGCCCCGCAGCCGGCCTCCGTCAGGGAGCAGTTCTGGAGGCTGGAGCACGTGGCCGTCAGCGGGGCCCCACGCGATACAAGCCACTCCCGTCTCTAGGAGCCTGGGCAAGGCGCCTGTGTGGGCGCCCACAGGGCGGCCGGGCCGGGCTCAGGTGTGCCTCAGGGCCCAGGGCCCAGGGATGACAGGCAGGGCTGCGGTGTGAGTGGAGCCTCCCCGGACCGCCAAGCAGGCTCAGACCCTGCAGCCTCACCTGAGCTTCTGGATCTTGCAGGTGGGGCTCTGCAGCCCCTGGAGCACCAAGCGCACGCCGCCATCACCCAGCTCATTGGTGCCGAGGCTGAGCTCGGTCAGGGAGGAGTTGACCCGGAGGGCGGAACTGATGTCCTTGCACCGCACCTCCGTGAGGCCACAGTCGTCCAGCCTGTGGACGGACACACCTGGTCATTTCACACAGCAGGCCGTGACCCGACAGTGGGCTAAGAACTGGGCAAGGTGGGTGACAACCAACACAGCTTAAAACGAAACAGGAAAAGCATATGATCATCTTGGAAAACTTCAGACACCGGCACGTGTACGGATGCGGATCTCCGCATCTTACCGAGGGGCCCGTCAGCAGGTGTCCACCTCCAGGAGAGAAATCAAACCTGGACAAGGCAGCAGCTCCGAGCACGTGTGGGAGAGGACGCGGCACCTCGGAGGGCAGTGCCCCCCTGAAGGGCCTCAGCAGGCCCAGCGGGGAACGTACCAGAGCACAACCCAGGACCCGTCCGTCCCCGTGAGTGAAAACCCGAGTGAACACAGGTGGAAGAAAAGCCAGCTCTTACTCACGGAATGACAGCTGGTAGTCGTGGAAGGAACGGGGACATTAAAATCCCAGTTAGGCAAAGGCCCGTAATAGCCATTCTGGCAAGACCCACCAACGGGTGTGGAGCTCAGTGGACGACCGTTTTAGCACAAAAGGGTGAGAGCAGAGTCTCAGGTGTCTCACCCAGGGTGTTTGCCGATAACAGGAAAACCAGTGGCTGCAGTGGAGAACCGGCAGGCACCACCCATCAGGTGGTCATGGTGACCACGAGGGCTCACCGTTTGGCGCCACTGTGACCATAAACCCCAGATATGACATGCCAGGCAGGGCACAACATCACTTCTGTGTTATCTTCCCCAGAATGTGTGACTCAGCTCTGAGAAGACGTCGAGGGTCAGGTGGCCAAGGTCAAGGGCGGACAGAGGGGCCGTCACAGACAGGAGGGGCCGGGGAGACGTGAGGATGAGTGCCCCGAGGGCTCCCGTGCGCCCCGGGAACAGGAGAGGACACAGGTGGAAGAGCCGGTGACGAGAGGCGAGGCGCCCTGTTGGGCTCTTCGCTATGACCCGCGCCCCAGGCGACAGGGTGCCTGACATCAGCGGGAGGGGGCGCAGGGCACAGGGAACCCCGCACCGTCTTCACAACTCCTCCATAACCTAAAATGCTTTCAAGGAAGTTCAAAAGGAAAACGACAAGCAGGCAGGCATCCATCTCTCACCGGTGAACGCTCAGGACCCCTAGGTCTGCGCTGTTTCCCAGCCTGCGGCCCCGCAGGGGACAGGGCACAGGCAGTGCCCCCGGGAGGGGAGCCGACAGACGCGATCACACCCCCAGAGCAAGAGGGCGAGCTGCAGACCCTGGTCTGGGCCGCTCTGCCCACCAGGCTTGGGCCGGCAATGCGTTTGCATTCAAGTGGTTGGAGAAAGGCAGGGTAAGATACAGCCCAAGTGGTAGAGCGTACGCTTAGCATTCACGAGGTCCTGGGTTCAATCCCTGTATCCTCCTCTAAAAATAAATAAGTAAACCTAATTACCCCCCTCAAAAACAACAAGAAATAGTTGGAGGAAAATTAAAAAAAAATTTCATGCCACACAAAAACCATACAAAAGTCACAGCACGCTTCCGTAAATGAAGTGACGTGGGGGCTGCTACCTGACCACCTCGTACTGCTGGATCAGAGGCAGGAGCTCCGTCCACCGGCTGTCGCTCAGCTCCTCACACTGGATGTCCAGGTTCATGGCGGGAGGTGAAGTCTTTCCTAGACAAGATGCAGAGGGAGAAATTCTCTCAAGGTTCGAGAGGCCAGAGACCCAGCAGATGGGGGGGGGGGACAGCGAGGGGAATCCAAACAGGACCCCAAGCGGCCAAGCTTTGTGGAGGAGCCAGTCTCTCCCTCGCCTGCTTCCTTCCCCTTCCTCAGCTCCTTGATCCTTTATCCACCTCGGCCTCCAGCAGAAAAGCCGGGGTGGGTGGAGGGAAGCTTCGCCCACTGGGCTCCCTGCTCCCCCAGCCCCTGGCACTGACACTGGCCACCCACAGCCCTGCCTCTGACTTGCCTGGGCTGGCCGCAGGCCTGGCCACAGCGTGGAGACCCCAGTCAAGGGAGCACAGGGGCCACATCTGTCAAGTGCTATGGAACTCTCCCTGCCTGCTCACTGGAAATGGGGGGCTGTGCCGGCCAGGCAGACCACCCACAAAGCCGCAGTCCCCCCAGCACTTGAGTACCTGAGGCCTCACTGCCCCGAGGCAGCTGGGTGGGTGGCACAGGTGCCTGTGGTCAGGTGACAGTTCCCGACAGCACCAGCTGCAGGTGCCCTGGACAGGACAGAGCAGGTGGGGTGGGGGCCCCAGGTCCAGTGGCCTGCACTCTGGGCGGTGCATTCCCTGGGGTGCCCGATTCCATGATCCCCTTCTGGGAGCCGGGACTCTGGACAGGGCATGTCCTCTGCCGCACCTTGGGTCAGCGAGGGACCAGCCCAGACAGGCCGCTCACCACGCAGGCTGAGAAAAGCAGGAGGCCTTTGCCCAGCAGGTATGGGATGGGAGGTCACACAGACCCTGAAACCTCACCTGGGACAAGCACAGAGCCTGAATAAAAGAGGAACCGGAGCCCCAGGCCGGGGCTCACTGTGGCCCCGAAGGTGGGGGCCAGCAGGAGAGGGAGCCACGGGCTGCCATGAGTGGAGACTGGGGATGGGGCTGGGGGCGACAGAACGCTCAGTGGAGAGTCACACCTGGGAACAGTGTCATTCCGGGTCTCTGGAAACAGGATGACTCAGCCCACG